AGAGAGAGAGAGAGAGAGAGAGAGAGAGAGAGAGAGAGAGAGAGAGACTTTCTGCCATGGAATGATGCATCACTAAGGTCCTTGGTAGATGTAGGTTGAGTCGTCCACCCTAGACTGGGATTAGACTGTAAGTCAGATTTGTTTGGTATATAATTAAAACTGGTAAAACACCAGTTTTAGGTACTCTACAATGTGGGGATAAAATAAACTAAGGATAACCCAAAATTTACTTTTTCTATTGAAAAAAGAACAATATTTTTAATATTCACTTTTATCATTTGTATGCACACATGTGGACCAAGATATTGCTCTTCTGTCTTAACTATAAGTTTCTCTTTGTTAGAAAAGGCTTGAGATCTATCTCTGGACACTGGGAGCCTAGTATGCTCCCAAAGATATTTGTTAGACATTTGTTAGAAAGAATATAATGTAATTTCATAATGTAAATTTGAGGTTTTGAAAATCAAAGTCTCAAATCTACCATAAGAGTACCAGAATTATTTTTCTCCTTTATACGTAGTGATAATCTAGAATAATTTTATCACCCCCTAAAGAAAACAATAAGTAACCACACAAAGAAGAGAGTCTATGATGTCACAACAATACTGTTAGGTGATAGAATTCTCATGGAGGAGGAGCCGTCACAGAGGCCAGCTAACACAGGTACACCTGCTTGCTAAATCAGATAAGCGGCAAGGAAGCTTTCTTATGGATAGTTCTCTGGTCTTAGCCATATCGGTCTATATGACAAATCACATCCCTATTAATATCTCTAGCTGTCAAGAGCCCTTCCCTTGGTACTAGGTTACTAGACTAGATTTTGCATAGCAAATGGCCACAGGCTGGGATTCTTAACAGAAATGGATGCTTTTATTGTTCTGGGGATGGAAATCTAAGAGCAGAGATGAGACGAGGTGTAGGTTTGTATTGCTGTTTCTCTCCTTAGCTTGCAGATGGCCACTTTTGTTGTCTCTCTGTTCACATAAGCCTACCATATCTCTACCTTTTCCTAAGAATGTTGGCATGTTGGATGATCCCTGAAGAGCAGTCACACATTTGAACTTCTTTATAGAATTAGATCCTGAAGTATGAAGGTCTAGAATTTCAGTATATAAATCTTCTGGATATTTACTTCAGTCTAGCCCAGCCATGTTCAATATACTTTTCTTATCCCTACGCACCATTTGTGTCTTCAAATACTCTTTGTCCAACCCATAACCTCTTAGATTGGTAAGTGTTGCTTTGCAACATAAAAGGATCTAACTCTACACATGTTCTGCCACTATTGACATTTCCATTAGAATAGTTTTGCTGGAGACAATGTTCTTTTAATTGAAAATATATTTATATAACTATAAATTAGTGTAACCTAGACTGGTCGCATGGCTCAGTGGATATAGATACCTGTCTACAAGTCAGTTGACTTAAGTTCGATCCCCCAGGATCCCCAGGATTTGATAGAAGAAGAGAAACACATCCATACAAGATGTTTTCTGGCTCCATTCCTACATAATTGTACACATCAAAAAAAATACACAACTTCTCCTAGTTCATATAACAATATAAACTATTGGTTTTGAAGTGTTCTCTGAACGCATAGTCTGTACAGAGAAAAGGCAGCAAGCATCTGATTGATTGACAGCGTAAAAATAGACAGCTCTTACCTGTCGTATTTGTTTTACCTCACCTTGAACAAGCCCCAAATGGTTCTCTCACACTGAAGATAGGCTACAATCTCAGACACTTTCTCATTACCTTTCTTCCAGATGTATAAAAAATGGCAGGCATAAATTTTCTAAAATTAACCTATGATATATATGAGCAAGTGAAACTACATAAGAAAGTAATTTCATTTTACAGGCCTTATTTCTCCACTTTCAGAGTACATTATATATGTGTATGTGTGTGTGTGTGTGTGTGTGTGTGTGTGTGTGTGTATGAAAAAGAAAAATCTTATAAATAAACATGAAAACTTTAGTTCTGGAGATATATATATATATATATATATATGTATACCCAAATGTGTGTGTGTGTCTGTATGTTGATATATATGTATATGGTTGATTATATATATATACATACATGCATATATACATACGTATATACATACATACATATGTGTGTATATATATATGTATATATATCAACCATATATATGTGTGTGTATATATATATGTATATATGAATTGATATATATGGTTGGTATTCATATATATAT